TAACTTCACCTAAAATTTCAATAATACCTATATTGGGCCCACGCCTGAATAATTCTAAAGATTTCCCCGGGTTTGGCTCTGGCAACTTTTTTTTTCCTCTGAGGCTGGTTCTGATGGAGAAGTGCTGGGAGCAGAGCGCAAAAGCGACGTGTTTGAGGTTCTCGGCTTTCGGACTACAAACTTTGGGGGTTATTCTCGTGGCCATTGCGATTTAGGAATCTCCCCAACCTCTCGCCAAGTAGAGTTTGTCTAGAGCAAGGAGCTATTGCTGGTGAGGCTGAGGAGCTGCTTCGGAAAGGCAGGTGAAGTCGATAATTAATTAGACACAAAATGAAAACTTACCATGTTAATCAACAGTGGATAACAGTGACTCGCTCTGCAAAATTATCATCTCTCCGCTCAGGGGCTAAGGTGCAACCCAACTTACGCTTTCTTCTTGCACACTGTGAAGTGCTATTTCTAATGAACTCTGTTTGAAAAAATAAAGCTCTTAAAGTTGACGTACGCCCACGTGAATATATTATATAAGACGTTACCGAGACAGGCCTGGGCCAAGGACCTGAGTGAGCACCGTGTATAACCGTGAAGCTCCTCTTCCCTAACTCCAGTTTGGCGGCATAAATTAAGGTGATTTGGAAGGGGAATGCTGCATCCTGCCGGGTTTGGATAGGGAGCGAAGACTTGGTGGAAAGTTGTGAGCTCTGTTGTGTTGTGAGCTATTGGAGGCGCTTCCGTTGGTTGTTCATTAAGTGGTGAGTTATTGCTATACAAGCCAAAGGTCATTTCAAAGGCTTATGGTTGCTAGATATCGTCTTTATAATGACCTGGGCTTCTTTGTGGGGGTTTCTCTGGCGCTCTTAATGTTTTCTCAGCGCTCTGAATCGACACCTTACACATCCTAAAGCAGAATGCTCATCTCGAGCCGCGAATATTTGCAGCGTATTTAGGGCTGGGGTTTCCCAGCCGGTCTTTATCTGGGACGGGGGTGGGAGAGAAGAGGGGGAGTCCGCGCTGGCTCCGCGTCCGCGGGCTCTTCCCCAGGCCGGCGCGGAGGGGAGCGCAGACGGCAGCGCGGGGACTGCGCGGACAAGCCCGGCTCGGCCGTTCCGCGCCCCTCCGCGCCGCGCAATGGGGCCGGCGGGAGCCGCCGCTCTGGGCGGCCGTGCGCGGCGCCCTGCGCGCTGCCCCCGGGCAAGGCCGCGGCGACCTGGGGGAAGCTCCGCGGGTCCCCTCGCTGCTGCGGAGCCGACTGCTTTTAGGGAGGTAGCGGATCGCTCCCCTCCGCTCCCGACAAATCCGGGGCAGTTTCTGCCCTTTGTCTGCTAAAAGCTCCGGCGTGCGCGCAGGGGCGCGCAGCGGCCTCGGCCAAGACGTGCATTTATTAACGAAGTCCTAAGGAGGAAAGTCTAAAGCCGAGTGGCTTCTGCTGAGCGTTCTCCCTTCTGTTGCAGGTCAGTGTCCACGGCTTGTCCAAAGGAACCCGAAGATCCTACACACACAGTTAAGGTCAAAATTCAAGAAAAAACATAAGTGTGGTGAGTTTTCTGCATTTCCTTTTCCATCCATCTCTCACTCCGCCCCGCTTGGCAGCCCTTTTGTAGGGAAAGAAGGTGCTGGAGTGGATGGCCGGCCGGGAGCGGCGCTCCCGGGACAGGACCATCGATCTGCGGCCTGAGTCCCGGCTCCAAACATGCAGCGAGGGTTGGGACTCCGGCCGCCAAATAAAGCGGGGCCCACAGAACGCCCAGTGGCTTCTTATTAGACGGGGCCGACCCTGGTGGGGAGAAGATCGGCCCTGAACCCAGACAGTGGGCGCGGATCGCTCCCCCGGGGTTGGGGGTCTTAACCGCCTTAAGAAAGAACCTGGGGTTCCCCAAGTTGGTTGGGCAGCTCTTTAGACCCGGGGCTGGGTCGGACCCAGCCCTGCCGAACCTGTTCTTTGTTCGCGGGGGTRTTCTGCCCGCACCGGGTCCTCTCCTCAGCCCGCGAAACCCAGACCTCCACCCGGCTCCAGCCGCAGCCGCCGCTGCCTCCCGCTTGGACCCAAGGCCCGGTCCGGAGAGGTCCGAGAGCGGCGGGGGCTAGCGGCGGTCCCGGGCGCTGCTTATATAGGGGCTTCCCCCGGTCTACGGCCGGGAAAGTGCCGAGTGGGAAATTCTTTCGCTGGGCTCCCACCTACGCTCGGGCTGCTTTGCACTTCTGAAAGTGCCAAGGCTTGGGAAGTGTTTTCCTTTTCATTCCTTACTGAAGCGTTTACTGCCACAGCACTGGCAGTCATAAATTTTGCTACAAACCGCAGTGACAGGTGCATTGATATGCACCCTGAGAGCGCCGGCTGCTTTAATAACCGCTCCGCCGGCCGCTCTCGCCRCCTTTTATTTATTCGGTATCATATTAGGTATCGATCCCGAGCAGAATTAAGTGCAGTGGAAGTGTGAGGAGAGAACTGCTTAGTGCTAGTGCGCCCGGTGCCGTGCGCGGGGCTGCGCGGGCTCCCTCCCGGCCGCGCCTGGCGGAGCCGGGGAGCGCCAGTAACTTCCAGAAGTCCCGAAACGGGATAAAGAGCCCCATTATCACATGGGATGCCTAACGGTTCAGATGAGGTTAACCTTTCTGGGGAGCAGGGGGGAAATCTGAAACACAGACATAGCTACTTAGTGGTTTCCTACCCTCAGTGCATCTGAGCCCACCTCCCACCGTTCGGCCTCACCATTTGGATGTCTTTTTTCTTTTTTTCTTTTCTTTTCTTTTCTTTTTTTTTTAGCTCTTTTTTTTTTCTCCCCCCGGAGACTTGTTTCTGGCCAAACCACCAAGTGATGAGCCCCTGCTTTGGTGTTACCTACAAAAACATCACTCGGCGCCTTACACTCGTGGAAAATCAAAACCTGGAAAGGTCTCCCTCTCCTCYCTCGCTTTCTCCCGCTCTCGCTTTTTAAGATCTAAAGATGAGCCACCAAACAGTTGAGCATTGTCCATGTGATTTATGGCCCATAGCCTCCTTTTTAGGTTCAAGCAGAGTTCACAAGCAGTTGGTATTTCAGAAAAGAAATAAGGCTTTTAACAGCTTAACAGCAATATTCTTTCTTAAGATTCTGTGTATTCTTTCGGGAACTATATTTTACAAGGCACATAAAAGCATACGCTTTAGGCACTGTTTTGCTAACAAAAGTCCTCAGTYCAGATTACTCCTGAAAATGTAGATTATAGAAGTGGAAAATCAGTGACAGTTTTTTTTCTTCCCACAAAATACTTGAAAGGCTCCTCAATATTATCACAATTTATTAAGACTCTTCTAAATCACTACTGATCAATTCCTTAGACCTCCCTTTGCTATTTATTTTTCAAAGAAAGGAAAACAGCTATTTTTCAGTTACTATCAGCTTCCCAGAAAATTCCACAYGTTGTTCACGGACTGTGGTTTGTGACAGGGTGGATTGTGGTTTGTGACTCACTTTGCGAGTGAGTGTGGGTTGCAGTCCTCTGATTCTAGCCCTATATCGTCGGGAATTTTGGAAATTAGACCAATGGCACCGGGCAGTACCAATTGCTGTGAGGAAAGAGCATCAGACAAATGTATTTGGTGGGAGCACAGCTTACTTAYAGTCTGGAGAATGATAATTATCAGGCACTGTTCAAAAAATTCAAAGCTATTTTCCTCTAGCATAATAACAATAATAATATTAAAGTCTAGAGAAAGACAATTAACTCGTAAAATACGCGGAGATACAGGCTGATATAGTTAGGCGAAGTACGCGATCATTTACAAAATAGTTAAGGAAGGTCAGAAGCCTTGACTCAACAGGAAAAATTATGCGAAGTGAGAAAAAAATCCGTAACAAAACCGAAGACGAGTTTTTATCTTGCAACGAGAGAAACAGGGTTTGAGTAGAGCACCCTGCCCCCCAAACCTGACCTAAGGCGCTTTTGCTTCCCGTGCATTTTGGGGGAGGTGGAGAGGGGCGCAGTAAGTTTTCGCGGTGGTAGAAGAAGAGACCGAGATTTATAATGAAAACCATCCCCTAAAAATGATCCCTAGTGTCTMTGAGTCTTTCTACTGGGGACAAATGAGAGGGATGAGAAATGTCGGACGAAGGATTTTAATTCACCACGGGATTAAAAAGGGGGAGCTGACCTGCCACTTTCTTTATATTGCAAAGCGGAGCGGGTGAATGGCGTCGGTTATACTTTAACTCCTCAGGAATCCAGGGGAAGAGGGAGGCCGCATTTTACAAAGGGGACGGGATTTTTTAGCTCCCCGGCGGCCGCGGCCCGGGCACCATCCATCATGTCAGCCGTGCGCGGCCCTGCGCACGCGTGCGCGCCGGGGCCGCGGAGCGGGGCGCCTCGGGCCGGCCCGACATGGACCGGGTCGCTATGGACCGGGTCGGCCCCCCGCGCAGCCTCCCTCTCTTCCCATCTCGGCCCTGGCCGGGCCTTGCGCGGGCGCGGGGACCTCCCTGGCGCCGCCGCCCACAGCGGGGCTCATCCCAAAACGTGACCCGCAGCCCTGCCGGGCTCCGGCCCGGCGGCCTCGCGGGGGGCTCGTGGCAGGGCCGGGGGAGSGGGCATTTGTGCGGCAGCAGCCCAGGGAAGGGACTCAGGACTCCCTGCGCTCCCAGGGAGAGTCTCCGCTGTTCCATGGTGTCCTCTCCTTCTTCCCCCGTGGCCCCTTCTCCCTGCCTGGGGTCCCTCGATCCTTTCTTGGAATGCCCGTCTGCCTCGCTGGGGGTCCCTCCGTCCGTCTAGTTCTCCCTTCCCGGGGCCCCCCATCCCTTTCCTGTGCACTCTGCCTCTTCCTGGTGCCCCCCGCCCGTTCCCAGTTCCCTCCGAGGCCGGCCGAGGCCTGTGGGCTCAGCACACATGTGCGGTCAGGTGCTGGGGCCGGGCCGCCCGCTCGGCACCCAGCACTGAAGGTCTTTTTTGTGTCCCCCGCTGTCGCCCTCACAGGTGGCTCCCGCGGCGGCGAGTGGCCCAGGCCGAGGACGTGAGGGACGCGGTCAATGTTATTTGAGCAGGGCCCGCGGGCCTCGGCGAGCGCAGCGAGCAAGATGCAGAAAGGCGCCTACTACGACAACGCGGGGCTCTTCGGGGGCTACACGTACAGCAAGGCCGACGCGTACCCCTACGGCGCGGCCCATCAGCCCTACGGGCAGGCCGGCCTCGAGGGCGACTTCCCCGGCGCCGCGTGCTCCGTGCAGGGCTCCGCGCCGCTCCGCGCCCCGGCGCACAAGGGCAGCGAGCTCAACGGCAGCTGCATGCGCACGGCCGGGGGGGGGGCCGGGGGCAGCCAGCCCCCGGGCCTGGGAGAGCAGCAGCCGCCGGCGCTGCCGCCCTCCTCGCCGCCCAACCCCCCCAGCGCGCCCCCCACGAAAAAGGGCGGCAAGGGGGGCCCCAACGCCTCCGCCACCGCCACCATTAGCAAGCAGATATTCCCCTGGATGAAGGAGTCTCGGCAGAACTCCAAGCAGAAAAGCACCTGCGCCCCCTCAGGTAGCCACCGGCCCCGCCGCGCCCCGCTCCCCGTCCCGCCCCGTCGGGACCGGCCTCGCGGCGCTCCCCGCCTGAAAAGGATCCCGCTGTCCCGACCCGCACGAGAGTCCAGCCATCCCGATCCACTCGGGGCTCCCTCCTGTAGATCCCGCTTCTCCGCCCCACCGGAGTCCCCACGTCCCATCTCGGCCCCTCCATCCCTGCACTCGGCCCCTCTCCTGCGGCTGCGGAGGCACCTGCCCCCAGCCCGCTGGAGCCCCCCGCCCCAAGGGGCTCTGGGGACGGGTTGGGGTCCCGCCCCCTCCCACTGCAAGTCCAACGGCGGCAGCAAGGGCCCCCTCCATTGGGACGGCTGCGGGGGGGGGCGCTGGGAGAGGAGGGGGCGCTCCTGGAGGGGGCGCTCCGGCCCCCTGCGGTGGGCAGCGCGTTCTCGGGGTGCCCAGGGGCTTTCGTTGGGGGGAGAAACCAACGTCTCTTTTCGCCTGTTGCCCCGCAGGAGAGAGCTGCGAGGACAAGAGTCCCCCCGGGCCGGCCTCCAAGCGGGTGCGCACCGCCTACACGAGCGCGCAGCTCGTGGAGCTCGAGAAGGAGTTTCACTTCAACCGCTACCTGTGCCGGCCGCGCCGCGTGGAGATGGCCAACCTGCTGAACCTCACCGAGCGCCAGATCAAGATCTGGTTCCAGAACCGCCGCATGAAGTACAAGAAGGACCAGAAAGCCAAAGGCATCATGCACTCCCCCGTGGGACAGTCCCCCGAGCGCAGCCCGCCGCTGAGCGCGCCGAGCCACGGCGGCTACTCGGGCCAGCTGCCCGCCGTGGGCAGCCTCGCCTACGACAGCCCGTCGCCCACGTCCTTCGCCAAGCCGCAGCAGAGCATGTACGGGCTGGCCGCGTACACGGCGCCGCTGAGCAGCTGCCTGCCCCCGCAGAAGCGCTACGCGGGCGCGGAGTACGAGGCGCCCGGCGTGCAGGGCGGCGGCGGCGGCTTCGGCGGCGCCAGCCTGCAGGGCAGCCCCGTCTACGTCGGGGGCAACTTCGTGGACTCCATGCCGGCCTCTGGGCCCATGTTCAACCTGGGCCACCTCTCGCACCCCTCGTCGGCCAGCGTGGACTACAGCTGCGCCGCGCAGCTGCCCGGCGGCCACCACCACGGACCTTGCGACCCGCACCCCACCTACACGGATCTCACGTCGCACCACACGTCTCAGGGACGCATCCAGGACGCGCCCAAGCTCACGCACCTGTAGCGGGATTGGGAGCGAGCGGAGCGGGCGCTCCTGCGAATTACCTCACTTTTCTGGCGGGACAGTGTTACGTGCTCTCGAATGGCAACAGTATTAGCGGATTTGTCTCCCCTATCGTCTACATCTTTCCTTTCCTCTATTATTTCTTTTTTTTTTTCTGTTGCAACTCTGAGTAGGTCCATGGAAAGGAATCCTTTCTTTTCCTAGCTGTTGTTTTAAGCATGACAGTGCAATATACTGCAAACCAAGGGACTAATAACTTGGTAATTATGTACTTGAAGGTAAGTCTTATAGATCAATTAGTATTAGCAGCGCGTCATGCTGAGGTGTCTTAGACCAATTGTGAGCGGTGAGGACTTGCCTGCATATAAGCTTATTTCAGAGAAGTTAATTTATGAATTCTTCCGTAATGTAAGGATTGCAGCGGACTAAATGATACGTATTTATTATTTTAAGCGAGACACTTTTGTATCACTGATTATTTATCCTMGTCTTAATGTATTTATGTGGGTATTAGTAGAATTTATTCACCAATACTTCGGGAGATCGATTCAGGTCCACGGTGACTTACATTTCACCTATTTAGTATATTCGGTCTGAGCTAGTTGAGAGAGTAGTCTTGAGCAGTTGTAACAGTGGCTGGTGTTCGTAGTTTATGTAAGGATTAATTAAGACAGCGAGTTGTAAGTCATTAATAGAGTAAAACAAACCATGGCATCAAACAAAGAGCCGTTACACTTTTTAAGAAGCTGGAAGTATTTTTAAAATATTTATTTCAAATCGTCTGGTACCATTTGAATGCTTCCTTAGGCTGGCCCGTAGCTCGTCTTGTTTATGAAGCCACCTTTTAGTTGGAAGCGCAACCGCTTTGAGAAAAGGACCCACAAAGCGGGTCTCTTGGCCATTTTGTTTCCCATCAAATCCTGCCTACACAAACCTCGGTGAGGTTAGCGTTTATTTATTGACTAGGTATCTATTGCACGCTATCTATTATTTCGGTGGGCTATTTTCTTTTTATTACAGCCTGGCTATCTGAAATAGGAAAGGAATTAGAAACTTAGAATGAAAAATTAATAGAAACCCTCTGATAGTGCTAATTTCATTAGGGTCTCCATAGCAATCCGTGCAGCAGCTGCCGTCTCCTTTGTTATTTATACTCTTGYCTTTATACTAACCATAAATCAATTTTTTTAGACGTCTTTGGAAGCCCGAGCTTTTCCTCTTACTTTTCATAAAAACAAACTCGGAGCGAGACTTGACAATCAGATGCGCGGGGCGGGAGGCAGCGCCGGGGCGGGCGCGGGGCGGCGGCGCCGGGAGCCTCCGCGGTCGCGCAGCCTCCGCCCGGCCTCGCGGCCTCGGGAAAACCGCGGGCAAAAGGAGAAAAAAAAAAGAAAGAAAGAAAGGAGAGAAAAAAAAAAAGAAAGARAGARAAMRAAAAAAAAAGAAAAAAGRAAAAAGRAAAARRAAAAAAARRAAAAAAAARTGGAAAAAATCCAGGATGCGCCGAAACCTCTTGTTTCCTCCTCTTAGTCACACGACTGGGTTGAATCCCTCTCCGGATTTACCTGAGTCATCTTTTGCTGCTTCTTCTTTGGGAAAGTTTGACATTAAAGTCTGTTCCTAACAGTATAGGCCGCTCTGAGAAAGCCGTCTGCTCTCCCTTGTGCAGTGCCGAGTTAAAGATTACTCGGATCTCTTTTCCCTCCACACAACCACCCGATGCGTCACTTTCTGGTCTGACAAACACTGCGACTCCTACCCCAGCCCCCGATGACAAGAGCCGCACTTTCTATCCTAAGAAATATATTAACTCCTCCAATTCTGGGCAACACACATAAGGATTTTTTTTCCCTCTCTTTTCTTCTTCTTTGTCTGCTTTTCCTTGCTCTCCTCCCTTCTCCCACTGTTTGCAATTGACTGGACAGTAACAATTCAAAATATCATTTAATCTTTCTTCTCTCTGCCCCCTCTACAATTTTAACCATGTAGCGTTATGTTGAGAAGTGCACCTTTTGTTCAACTTCACTCTTATCAAGAAAATTTGGCTATATATGTTGTAGATCTCTAAACAAAACAGAATAACACAAATGACTTTGATTGAAGAGGCATTTTAACCACTTTGAGCCCTAAAATTGTTTTATATGGGAATTTTTGCACAAATTGTTCTTAGAAGCTCCATCCAGGAATAACCAGAATACACAAACAGCATAATATGACTAAGAACTGCTCATGAATCATATAATGCGCCCATAAATATATATATGTATGTTCGTGTCTCCAAAATCTTCTGTAACCAATGTACCCAYGACTGAAACCGTCCATGTAGATTTTTTTGTGTGCTTTTCAAACCATGATGCATCACTTGCTTCCAAATGCACAATGCCAAGGCACTGCCGTTCCTGTAAGACCTCCCATGGTGTAACCCAACGTGCTTTATCCTGGTGTCCCCCACCTTAGCGTTGCATAGGCTATTCTCCAGATTGTGTCTGCTCTGACTTACTCTATTAGTCCTTCAAAAAACTGTTAAGAAAAGGCCGTTTATGAATAGCCCTTCCCCAGACCCGAGGAAGAAGGGGGTTTGCAGAGAAATTACCTGAAAACAAAAGCAGTGCTGCTGAGGTACCCTGGCCTATGTTATTTTCTTATTGCAGAGAGGGGTTTGCTAAGTTGGTTTTCACTGGGGGGAGGAGGAAGAGGAGGAAGAGGAGGAGTGTGTGTGTGAGAACTGTGTTGTAAATAAATTCACTTTCTTCTCCGTGAATATGACAGAGGTGTCTCGTTTGTAACGTGATAGAAGTCCACAACGATAACCTAATCATTAGAAGTAATGTTACTTTAGTGAGATCGCTGGCATTTTTACAATGTTTGTACAAGCATCAGCAATCTCGAGGAGAGAGACACTTTGGCRCAAGCCAGACTTTTTCTTGGCCCATCATTTAAAGCTCATAAATTATAAACAAGCCCCTTTCATGCTCAGTAGCAACTCAGTAGCTTTGCAGCAGCACCCAGTGCTCTGAACTCTGATTACCCACTTAAAACCCAAATTGTCAGCCCAGGCCAGCTCTTAGTCTCTCTTCCTTGCATATGCAGTCAATGCAGGCCTGGGATGTSCCCTGCACTGTATTTCTTCTGGAGGGTGGTCCCCGCTGTATCCCTGTGCCCAGGGCCTCCTTGGAGCAGTGAGCGGTGCTGGTGCAGGGGACACCGGTGTCTCACAGATGCTGCTCGCGCGAGGCTGAGAAAACAAAACCGGACGCCCCATGATTGATCAGCCTGTGTGTCCCAGGCAGAGTCCAATTCCCAGCCTGCCTGCTCCTGCCCTGTGTGCCGGCCACCCTGGGACCATCCCGGAGTCACCAGGGCTGGTGGCAAGTGGAGGGAGCTGGCCAGGCTCCCAGGGGGAAGGGCAGAATGGCAAAGCTGCTGAGGAAAGAAGGGATCCTTCTCTGTGCTGGGGCTCTCCRAGGGAGCCAGGAGGGTCCTTGGAGCTCAAGGAAGGAACCGAAGGCAGGAGCAGCATGAGGCTCTGCATGAACCAGGCCTGTGGGAAGGCCAAGGAGAGAATCAAGCTGCCCTGGATACCCTTGGAGATCCCTATCCCTGTTCAGAGCACTTGGAGGTCCTGGGACACTGCTGAGGAAGGAGCCCCAGTGACTGTAGCCCCTCTCCATTCCAGAATCCAGAGTGTGTCCAGCAGTCTGGGACACAAAGGCAGCCTGTGAAGGCATAGTACACTACGCAGTACAGGGGCCCAGGCATCCGGTTGCCTCTGCTCATCCCGCTGGGAACAAAAGCTCCCAGCACAAAGGGCTGCTCTGCCGGGGCCAGCAGCAGCCATGCTGGCTGCCGGGCGCTCTGTGAGCTCACATATCTGTGAGGAAGCCCCAGGCCTGTGAGGTGTGAGCTGGGCCCGGCCGCTTTCTGAAGAATGAGTTATTGGGGGAATTGCCCCTTGGGCAGCGAGCACCATGGGCACAGCTTGGGAAATGCGGGGGGAGGTGGGAACCTGCACCCATGAAGGGTCCATCAATCATGCGAGGTGCACTCTTCACACGGCAGCAGCTCACCCTCCCTCAGCTCGAGCCCGAGCCAGCTGGGGCATKACCAGAGACCCCAGCCAGATGCAGCAGTGCCCAGTCCCAGAGCACGAGAGGCCAGAGAGGTTTCCAGCTGCGAGGATGTGACTGAGTCCCTTTGGTCTCAAGGTCACTGTGCCCTGCACCTCCAGGCCTCTGCAGAGCCTGCACGGTGCTGCCGATGCTGGAGGTGGCAACAGCCTCGCACCTGCAGAGCCGCATCCTGGCTCTGCTKCGAGACAGTCCCAGAGAGGCTCAGCTATGACGGCCACAAGCACAAAGCTTGGGCTCTCTCATGGGGTAGGATGGAGCTCTTCTAGGGAAAARCACTCCCAAATGCACAATTCGTATCGTTGGCTTCATTTCTCCTTTATTTACTCATATGCAGCAGCTGCCCTTGCAGCAGCAGAATCTTTGGGAGTGAGTAGACACCCACATTGCCCCCTGCTCCCAGCAGCCTGAGCTGCCTTTTGAGATCTTTCTCTTCTCTGTGTCCATACAGAGGATCTTTGTATTTAATTCCATGTCCTGGGAGAACACAGGCCCCAGGTTCATCCTCTTCCCTGGTGATAACCTTTCTCCAGGTGGCTTTGGATGACCTGACCATGCAACAGGACCACCATGTATATTCCAGGTATTTGGTCACCTTTCTTGAGGGTGCCCATTGTCCCCAGCCACTTCCAAACATGCTTCCCTGGATAGAAATTCTGGATAGAAAATCCTCCTCCAATCYCCAGAAGATGGAGCAGAAATGAGACAATTCACCTGTGCTCAGCTTTGGGTTTCTGCTTTCTTCATCCTTGAACAGTCCTGCAAAAATGAATAGAGAATGTGATGAATGGGAAGCTCAGTAACAAACCCMTCTGGGTGAATAGAAGGATCCTATGGTAGTATTAACATGGACATTCTTGTCTTAGTGCTTAAATACATCTTTAGATACCATTACAGCAGTAGCACTCTGCAAGCAGAAGAATCATGTAAAGCAGCCACAGGCCACCTGAGATGGGGCTGTTGATTTTACTCTTTTAAAGCAGAGAAGAGGGAGGAGGGTTGACCCTTTACTAAAAGGACAGGYTTTCTTTGCCAAAGAGAAGGCCTGCCGTTCCCAGGCTTCTGTTTCATCAGAAAACGACTGTTTTCAGACATCTCTGTCCTCTGTGGATACATTGCACAGCTTCTAAATCATATAGAATTTGACTGTCCTTTAAAATTTGCTTACAAGGAGTATTTGATCTGAGTTTATATGAAAACTTTTGTTCTTCTAATTTATACCTGTGTCCTCTGCAAGAGGCAAGATGGGTGGTATCCCATTATTAGGGCATCACYGAGAGCATAGCCCACACCAAGGACAAGTCTGTGTCTAGACAGCACCTAGCTCCAGGTCTCAGGGCTTAGAACAAGTGCTTTGCAGGCTCGAAATCCCTAAGAATTTAAAGTGCCAATGGAGACAGCCATCCTTTGCTCTGTAATTGTTGTTTTGCCGAATTCTGGGCTACAGCACAAGGAGTTCATGCTCTTGCACCACCCAAGCAYCAGGAGAGAGCAGTCTGGATATGGAAGTCAGCAGTTCATGGGAAATGAATGGGAAGAGCTGAGAAGACAGCAGAGATRCTGGAAGGACAGTGTGGGTTCAGAACCCACAGGGCCCCAACACCAGGCCAGCCCCCTGAAACTCAAAAGAGTCCATCAGGATTTATTCTGGTTACCCTCAGATGATCCAKCACTGTCATTGGCCCTCATAAATTTTGTAGATTTCTTGCTGGCCACTTTGACTGGTAGGGACTTGGGATAGCTGGGAGGAAGGTTCACATTCTGGATGAAGCCATTTTTAGTTTCATGTCCTTATTTAGAAATAAAATAATTCTGTGGCAAGGCACAATTCTTGCATTTTCCCAAATGAGTCCATGGTCGTGCTATTAAACCCTGAAGGTCAAGTGTGTGACTCAAAGCCATGTGGTGCAGCCCTTCTTCATGTTTCCTGTCTGTTTGGTCCCTTATTCTCAACACCAAAGTGAACTCAGCCCTGGGCTCCCACTTACCTATCTGAGCTGCAATGATATCTGGCTATTTGTAATAGAAGGTGGATGAAGTCCAGCAGTGTCCAAACTTACATTCATCTCAAACTAGGTGGTGAAGCTTCRCTTGGAAACTTCTAGGGAACAATGATCGCTTTTGGATTCACTGCTCATATCCTCCAGGTTTCTGCTCCCTGCCGTTCCAGGGAGATGAAAAGTCAAGGAAGGTGTGGGAAGGCCAGGTCAGCGCTACTTACTGCATCTTCTGCTCACTTTGCTCTTTTGCTTCCTGTGCGAGCGCACTCAGCGAGCACTGCTGAGCTGCCGGGGAGACATGAAAGCCCATTAGCACAGCGAGCTCAGGGACTCACTTTGTGAGACTGCAAAGCACTTATCTCATGCAGTGAGACTGTTAAGAGTCAGGAGGGCAGCAGCACCCCAGCTCCCCCAATTCAGACAGACTGGGGGTGCGTTGGGGGCCCACCTCCCCCTTGGGGCTTCTCCTAGAGGCATAGGAGGGATACTTGGGGGCCCATGGACGGTGAAGTTGGGTGAGGGAGTCCTAAGCTGGACCCTGAGGCAGGAGAGTGGGTGCTGGGGTCACTCTCCGCAATTTGGGCAAGGGATCCCACCGTGAGCGGCAGGAGATGGGCCTGGGAAGGGCGGGGGGGCGGGATCGGGTGGAGCCGGGCCGGGGGATCCCCCTGCAGCCCATGGCAGGACCCATGGACACCCGGGACCCCTGGAGAGGGCTGCCCCCGCCGGGCTCCCATTGGCCGCGGGGCGGGACGTGCCGCCCCGCTCCCGGCCCTATATCAGCGCAATATTGACCTGCCCGGGCGTGGGGAACACGGGTCGGGTGCGGGCCATGAACTCGGGMTCCTTCCCTCTCTCCTGCCCGCCCGGGCTGAGCCGCGGGGCCCCGGCCCTGCGCCCCTCCGAGTCCCCGACGGCGCCGGGCCGCGGCTGCGGGCGACCGGGGGAGGGCGGCGGGGGCCGCCCGCAGTTCGCCCCGTCCATCCCCGCCGGCCGCGACCCGGAGCGCGGCCACCCGCTGCCGTGGGGGTCCCCGCAGCCCGGCCCCGTCTCGCCGGCCCCCGGGGCGGCCCCGGCGGCGCCGCCGCGGCCCTTCGAGTGGATGCGAGTGAAGCGGAGCCCGCCCGTGAGAAGTGAGTGGGGCCGCGGGGCGCGGGCGGGGGGGCTCCCCACCTGGCTCCCCTCTGCCCCCCTCCTGCCCCCCGGCCGCCGCTCCTGCCTCTCCCCGCGCTGAAGCGAGGTGTTTTTGGGCGTTGCAGGCGGCGCGGCGCCGTGCGGGGCGCAACCCCCGCGCACCAGCTTCAGCACGAAGCAGCTCACGGAGCTGGAGAAGGAGTTTCACTTCAGCCGCTACCCGTCGCGGTCCCGCCGCCTCGAGGTGGCCCGGGCGCTGCAGCTCCGCGACGCCCAGGTCAAGGTCTGGTTCCAGAACCGCCGCATGAAGCAGAAGCAGCGCGAGCGGCTCGGGCKGCCCGCGACCCCCGCCGCCCGCCCGGGCCCCGCCGCCGCCGCCCCGGCCTCCTCCTAACGCGGTCGCTGCCGCCGCCGACGGGGCGGGCTCGACGCCCCGCATCGCTCCGCGCCGCTCCGCTCCGCCGGGACCCCCGCGGGCCGCCCCGGCGCACCCCGGCCCGGGAAAGGCCGGCGGGAGGAGCCGCCGCCGGTACCGGCTCGCGTTGCTGTCCTGTCCCGGGGCAGCCGGCATAGCTCCTCTGCTTTTTAAATTCTATTTATTTATTTATGTATTTATTTATTTTGGCAATGTGTTTCTTGAGGATATCAGAATATCAAGAAGACTTTCCATCCCGAAAAAAAAAAAGACTTTGATCAATGAGGAAAGTAAATAAATAGGGTGAACAGCTGCCCCCCCCAGGCTGCGGGTTCAGGCCTGGGCGAAGATCTCAGGCAAAGAGAAGCTGCCGGGCATCCAAAGCTGTTGGATGGGTGGGAGGCTGGTCTGGTAGAAACTGAAGAGCAGGAGAAACATCCCTGGCAGGGCAAGGAGGGACAGTCCCCTTACCCACAGGCATCAGGGATCCCCACTGAAGAGACGTGCCCTTGGCTTCCCCTCTCTCTTTTGTAAAACTTCTGCAAGAAAGGGGTGATTTATGGACTGAGCTTTTCTCACTTATTCACGGCCTCTTTCCCAATGTACTTGAGTTAGTCCAGAACTTAGTGAAGGGAGGTCTTGAAGGGAATGAAGCATTAGGAGGAAGTGTCCTTATGCTCAAGCTGTGACTTCCCTAGTGGTGGAGAAACGCAGGGTTCCAGCTCTCCCTTGACCGGCTCCCAGCGGCTCTCACCGACACAAAACCTCTTGCAGCTTTTAGGGCCAGACTGTGTCCTCTGCAGACTACACATTTTGCRCATCCCGATAGTATCTCGTGGTTAAAGAAAATGCCTCATATTCAAACAGTTTACAATACATTATGCCACATGTGAAATCCCAGGAACTGTTAAAGCTCAGAAAGATGCTTGAGTTTGACCAGAAGCTTCTCTGCCAGCAAAACTCCAAAGGGTTCCTGGGTCTTTTACTTGGGACCCTGGTTCAGCAGGGCTGACAACCCATGGCTACTCCACAGAAATGCAAAAACCCAGGAGTGCTTCTCACTTCTCCTGGTTACATCTTTCTCAAAAGTGAAGTAGTGAAGTTTCCTTCTCTTCACTTCCAAAGAGCAGAWTCACTTCACAGGTTATCAGGGAAAGAATTCTGGTAATTGAACTACTGATATGAAACCAGTTGCAACCAAAATAAATGCGCTGCAATTCTGTATTAATGACACTGAAAATGAGCTCTTAGACTGTGGGCTGTTTATTCTTAAAAAAAAAGAAAAAAAAAGAAATAATATTTTAATATTTATGCTCCCTGCTTCTGTGAAGTTATTTAAAGTAAAACAAGGTAAAGTATGGTAGTGTTCATGGAAATCAATGAAAGCAATGTAGATCAAATCTCCTTTTCAATCTGAGCATTAAACACAAGTCAGTTACTTAATAACACTTTTCAGCTGCTTTTAAGACACATTTTTTCAACTGACTTCTTTTTTTTCCTAAAAAAAAAACAACAAATAAGCATACGCATGTAACCAGAATAACTTGTCTTTCAAAGAGCATATGGCTCACACGTGAACTTTAGAACTAAACAGCTGTGTTTTCAGTTGCCTCCAAATTTGTCACCAAGCCATGGGGTTGCTGGTTTGCCAGAGTCTTATTTTCTTAATGATTTTGGCATTTGTGCTAGTCATTTGAGTCTGGAGGAAAGTTTTTCACTTTGGGGGCATGCTCTTGCACTACCAAAATGGAAAGAAAAGTTCTCATTGATTTCAGCGGTGCTGGGTCAAGCCAGCCATTAGACCACACAAAGTCTTTCGTAATGAATGTTTTCATGCCATATATTTTCCCCAGTAAATAAACACATGTGTTGGCCTTGTAGCAGTACACAGTTCTGTATCCATCAAAATGACATAGTTTAAATATGTAAAGATTTACTTGCAAATTAAGATGAAGCCTTACAACTGTTTTGTGGCAGTCTGAATCAATTTGCTGATATGAACACAGCCCTATTCTCTGTTAGGGAACTTTAAATATATTGAGTGTAATTTCTGCTCACAAGAGAGGCATTTTAGCAGCATCTTGCTTCGACATGAGCAGTCCCAGTGACATACGGATTGGAGGCTGCTCTTGGGCACTGCTCAGTCAGCAGGAGAGCTGGAGGAAGGGGGTCATGCAATCCATGTACCAGTTCCTGAATGATTAAAATTAAAATACATGCTATATACATGGTGCATACCTGAGGTAAGTGATAGCTAAGGTSTAAGATTCACTCACTCAGCATTAAAGCCACCTGCAGTCACTTTGGTGCCTGGTGGYTGGAAATAGGCTTTATGCTCTACCAGTACACGTGAGAGCACAGGCTGTGATTCTTACCACAATGGGGACAAACTACACCAAGACCGTTTTGTGAAATAACCACCACCACACAATTCATCAAATGTTATGAAAATACTATTTCTTGGCCTTGTTTTCCCTCAAACATCATTAAAAATCATATAAAAGACCATTCTGTTTCTGTCATATAGTATTTTTTTACTTACTGACTATTGCCTGAAGGGCCACAGTGTACAAAGGGTTCCGAAAAAAAAAGCATTTTTAATGTGTTCCTATTTTTGCCTGCAATAGAAAAAAAAATATTGATTTGGAAGGCTTCCAAGGAAAAAAGGTTGTACAGCTACTGTTCCTGAGTGGTATTTGTGAATGTGGAGATTTGATATTCTTTGGGTAGACAAGAGATAACAAAAAATCACATTGCTGCAAATGTAGCTTAGGCAAGGAGCTCAGGCTAGCTTTGGTGTCTGGCTTCCTACGCAGGCCTGAATGAATATATCACCACTTGCAAGCAGAACACAAAGAACACTTTGCAGAGGCTCAAGCTGCCTACTTCAATTTATGATATCAGCTGCTTATACTTATTTGGGTCATCAAAGAACAAAAAAGTAACTCAGAAAACAAAAATATGCAAGCTAATCATCACATTTTAATCTCCTCCTAAAAGTGTGCCATTTCCTCTATTTATTGGTAAAACCTGGAACAATGGCCAATACATAAAACACTGTAACATTATTAGCAGAGCAGAACAGATTATTCCCTAAAAAAACCTTTGCAGGCAAAAGAACAAAGTGGGAAGTCCTCCTTGTAGTTCCAACTACCTCTCTCACACCTAATAAATCATGCTTGTGATGTGCYCTGTACCATTCTGTTAGCCTAAATTCCAAGTAAATCCTGGGAATAAGGACAAAACTCTGATGCTCGAGAAGAAAAAGGCATTGAGAGAATCCCAAATAAGACATGGTTGTTACCAGCTTATCAYTGAGGGGTCATTAAAGTTAAAGCTAAACTTATTATTTAGCAGTGGCAATATATGGCTGTCCATGGGCAGGACTCAAGCTCAGATCATCATTTTTTTTCTTACTTCTTCCACTGCTGGGGAACTAGGGGAGTCTCTGATCAGGGAAAGGCATCTTTGAAAAAACAGCATTGGGGAACCAAGGGACAAATCCTTCTGCTCCCTGGCACAGGGAAGCCTGTTATCCCACCCCTCTGAACACATCCATCGGTACAGGCCCATTGGAATTCTGTGCAATAAATAGCAAAATGTACTTCCCAGAGCCAGGATCTTATTGTATTTTACTGATATCTAAAAATTAGATTATTAAAAGATTGAAATTGAAAGATTGATATTAGATTATTAAAAGATTGAAAAACAGCAATTTAAGCAAACAAACAATACACAAACACAATCAGGTTATTTCCTCTCTCAGACTTTCTACCACCTAGAAAACAGATCTCTTCTACTATGTGTCACCAGAGAGCATTGTGTCACGAAGGACAAAATCCCCCAAATTTCAGTTTGAAGACCAATGAGCTTTCAGGAGGCTGGCATATCATACTTTACAAAACTGTTATTCAGGACTAATTCAAGCAGCCCAGCCTGTGGCCTGAGTCTTAGTCTTTTCATGTTCTTTTAAGAACTAATTTAAGCACAATAAAGCTTAGAGTGGTATTTGAAAACAGATAAAATCTTACTAATTCTAWTTTTTTAAATGATTACTGAAGATCAGATTTTGCCCAGTTGCTGTTCAGATAATGGACAGTTCCTGTTTTAGGTAGTCTCTAGTTCCATATGTGAAGCATAGATAACGGAATAATTATTTTAAAACCATGGATTTATGGATTTATGAATTATGCCATTTACGAAGAATGAAATTTTCTTACACACCTGAGTGTATCAAATTAAAAGATAATTATCAAACTGTGTCAAAAGCCTGTCAATAAAACCCACCTATCTTTCACCTTAAAAATTCATCTGACTAAACATGTGGTACATGATGCCAACGGGTTATCAATCTGTTCTCTCTTGCTGGTGAGACTAGACCTCAAAAGCACCTGCAGAGAACTGCCCCTTGCTAATTCCTTGGTGGCCCTGGGGCAAAAGTGGTCTAAAAGATTGGGATCATTTGCACACAACACCATGATTCATTCTCCTAGAAAGGATCCACGTTTTTGAAACATTGGTTGCCTATGTCCAGCACAGTGATTTTCCTTCGGATGTGACCAGGCAGCCAGTTCAAAGGACTGTCACACGCTCCCAGTGCCACGTCCTCCCCTGAGAGCCCGGCTGCCTGCTGCTTCTGCTCTCTTTGCAAGGGTAGCACCCAGCCAAACAGATTTGATAATCGGATCTGAGGCTTCGCAGGTGTGAAACGCTGCCCAAAGGCCACATGGACAAGGATTTCCACAATACTGGGGCTAATCACAAATGAGAAAAGACGTCCCGAGCCTGCCTGCACAGTGTCACTGTCACCCTGACGCTGCTGTCGCCTGCGGTCCCAGCCTGCAGCAGAGCTCCCCCGTGCTGGACACGGGCAACCAGGCTTTCAACGGGCACCCATGTGCCAGCAGCTGCACGAGCATGGCTCTGGTCCGTTCTTTGGAATAATTTCCTTAATTTTAAAATGCACCACATTTAATAAA